GAACGAAAAGCCCTTGTAGAAGAAAAGAAAAGAAGAGTAGAAGAAGAGAAACTGGTAAGGTTGTGACATCCTCTTTTAGCACTACGGAAAAACATGTCAACTCATTAAATATTTTTGCTTTTGGGCTGATGTTTAACGTTGCGAAGATATCATCCAGTAAAAATATTTAAGACCACGTCCATTTTGTTTTCATTTATGGACCTATTATATACTTGTSTGTATTAATTTGCATGTTAAAATATTTTAAAAGGCGAAATTGCGACTTGAACAAGAACAGAAAGAACAACAACTGATCAAAGAAAAACAAGAGGTTTTAAAAAAGAAACGAGAAGAAAAAAGAGTAGAACAAGAGGTTAGTTTTTATAATAGTCACGTGTTTATGAATTATAGAAAAACTTCATTTTAAGAAATGTTCACACTACAAAGTATAAAATGAAAAGTAGGGGCCTTTGCGGTAACAACAGAAGTAGTTATAATAGGCCGATTCTGGCGATTTTTTTAAATCCGCCCACACGGCTAGCCACTCGATTTTTTTAAATCCGCCCAAACGKCTAGCMRCYCGATTTTTGGTTAAAAAACGCGATTTTAGGTAAAAATTACCACTACTTGGGAGTTAATAATAGATCGTCTATTTTAATAAAGGTTCGCTCTTGTGAATAAGTTTTATATCTATTATATATAATGAGTCGCGTGAATGACGAATTTAATTTACTTCTGGACAGTCTTAATAGTCTTAGCAGAGATGATTTTACCGATATTTCTGCTAGAATTTCTGGAATCAAAAAGAAGGCAACGGCTATGCGAGGCTTTCTGAATACTTATGAAATAGAAGGTGGAAGAATAGATCCGAATATATTTCTAGAAAGGAATAAGTCGAAGATTGTTAATCTAATAAATAGAAAAGAAAAGCCGACCAAATCTAATATAGTTCTAACTTGTGAGTTCTATAAAAGAAATCCAGAAGGAACTGTTTATTCACACGGAACTTTCCGTTCAAAAATAGAAATAATAACAGATTCTACCAATATTTCTAACATCTATGATAAGTGGTCAGAAGATATATTAGAAAGTTTTACTAATTATCAAAATGCAGGATCCGGATGGATATTTAGAAAAATAATAAGCTTAGAAATTAATATTGATACATTTGCTCCAATGTCGGGAAGCTCTTATTTACCTCTTCCAAAAGAGTTAATACCAAAAAAGGCGATAATTAATATGAAAAACAAGGATAATGAATGTTTCAAATGGGCTGTAACTCGTGCTTTATATCCATCAAAACGGGATTTGGAGAAAGTTAGTAGCAAATTAAAGGAAGATTCAAAAAATATTAATTGGAACGGATTATCATTTCCAGTAGAAATAGAAGATATTTCAACATTCGAGGATAATAATCCATACGGCGTCAATGTATTTGGATACAACGGTGAGGTCTATCCGCTTAGAATAACTAATAGTGAAAATAGAATAATTAATTTAATGATTATTTCTGAAGGTGGTAAAAACCATTATTGTTGGATAAAAAATATGTCTCGTCTCGTAAGCAGGCAGGTTGATAATCATCAACATTATCGATTCATTTGTGATAGATGTCTAAATTCATTCAAGTCTCAAGAATCTTTAGATAAACATTCAGAGTATTGCAGAAATTCAGATGCCATCAAAATGAGTCTTCCTAAAAAGGGTACAA